ACTTATAGTATCTTCTCCACCTAACTAATTGTGTTAACTAACTAACAATTTCAATAAATTGCTTCACAACTCATTTTAACATTAAACTAACTTACTTACATCATATAGAATTATTAGCAAACACATATTAAACTAACTACTACCACTACAAACATATGTTGAATCAACCATTGTTATTATTTATGTCATTTTATTACTATTACATGTACTTATTTTCTTTATTATCATAACAATACTTTTTCTATCAAGAGATTATTATCCTCAAGAATCCACATTAAACTTTAAAAATTATATGTTTAATTCTTTTGAGTTCTCCTATGTAACATCTTTATAAAACAAGTTAGACCATTTAATTGATCACATAACAAAATTTATGTCACCTTTCTTCATGATTTTCCTATCTAGAGTTTCCACCAGTAACACCTTGACCCTTCTATACTCATCCAATCTAAGTAAGTTAAAAGTGACTACAACGTTACTTCCAACCTTTCTATTTAATAATGTAACATGAAACACTGGATGTATGATTGAACATGTTGATAATTATAACTTATATGCCATCTCTTTCATCCTTTATATAACTAAGAATGGTCCATAAAATCTCGGGCTCAACTTGAAGTTTTTTCTTAAAGCCATGTTTATTTATCTATAAGGTTGCGGTTTAAGAAATAATTGATCTCTTACTTGAAATTCCTTTCAAGTTATGGTTTTGTTGTATATTGTGATCCTATGTTTAGTCAATCTCTAACTATTTTCTTCAATATTTGGTTCATGTTGATTCTCTCCCTTGTTATATATTTTACAACAACTAACATAATTTTTTTCTTATGTAATCAACTCCTAATTAGGATGTAAATAACTACACAATACTTGAAATAGAGTCGTTTTTATAGAAGAATGATAACTTGAATTATACCACCAATGAGTTAAAGATAGCCAATGATCCCATCATTTATAATTATACATGGTCACACATCTTAAATAAATCTTTAGGCACTAGTCAACTTTTTCAAATTGATTATCATTCTTAAGATGGTAACAAGAACTCACAAGGAGCTTGACTCTTAGAAATTTAAATAGTTCTTTTTAAAATAAAGTTATGAACTTCTTGTCTTTGTTAATTACTATAGCAGCTTATAGGCCACTCAACTTATAAAATTAATCCAAAAATAATTAAGCCACCTCTTAAGCTATGAAAAGGTGTAAGAGAGTAATAAAATAACCATACTTGATGAGTTTATCAATGATCACCAATATAATATCATTTTCTTTTTAAAGTCAAAGGATCTTTTATAAAATTCATTGTGATATTCCTCCAAGTACCTTCATGAGTTGGTAGAAGTTGTAAAATTCCAAGATAGGCTACTATTTCCACTTTTTCCTCCTTACATATATAACATTTATTTTTTTCACTAAAGCTTTTAATTGCCAATAAAGCATAGACTTCAATCTTTTATAAGAATTTTATGCATTAGCATGTCCTTTAATATATGAATCATGTTTTGCTTATTCCAATATTTCTCTTTTTATCAATCATTATCTTGTGTTTAAACCTTAGTATTCTATTGATAAATGTATAATTAGTCCAGTTATCAATATTCAATATTTTATCAACCATATTTCATATAATTCGTGATCATTATCATAGGAATCCTAAACTTCTTCATACCAAACTAGCATGACTACTAGAATTGATCCCAAGCTTTCTAAATTTGTATTGACATATTTTGTCATGACTTTTAACTCACTGGTTGCTCCAATGGATCTAGATAATGTATCTATGATCATATTTTTTTTTTTTTCATTTTCTATATTGAATATGATATCTTAACCTCAATAGCTTTTTCAGTCCTTTCATTTGTAATTGGGTATTTATCTTATGTTCCAATCAATATTTTAGACTTTCATGGTCAATTTTTATGACAAACTAATATTCTCCAAGTAATGCCTACATTTATCCATTAATATTAGAATTGTTAAGTATTTCTATTTATAATTGAATAGTCCCCAGTATTCGGAACTTAATAACTTATTAAAGAAGGATAAAGGTCTTTCTTTATGGCTCAAGACTACTCCTAACCCGATATAATAAGCATTTGTTTCAAGTATAAAGGAACTCTTAAATTTTTGTAGAGCTAAAATAAAAGATTGGCGTAATACATATTTTAGTTGATCAAAAGTTTTTTATGACTTTTGATTCTAACTAAAACTATCTTTCTAAGTAATTCTATCAAAAACTTCATAATCACTCCAAACCCTTTAATAGATCTTATAAAGTATACAACTATCCCTAAGAATTCTCTTAACTTTTTGACTGATTTTAGAACTAGCCACACCCTAATAGCTTTTGTCTTTTAAAAATCTATGGCAACTCATTCAAAAGATATTATATGTCATCAACTATCCAACTTGTTTTTTACAAAATAAACATTTGGACTTCTTAAAAATAACTAGTTGTTCTTAAGTATCTTCAGAACCTCTTTTAGATGTTAAGATGAAGCTCCAATGTGGAAATATATACTAAGATGTCATCAAATAATACTAACATGAATCTCCTTATTAAAGGTTCTAATATATAATTCATTAATGATTGAAATATTGCCAGGGTATTAGTTAAACCAAAAGGCACTATTTTGAACTCATAATGCTCATGATGAGTTCTAAAGTTATCTTCTCCACATTACTGTCGTATATTATCACTTGATGATATCCAGATCTTAAATCCAGTTTTGATAAAAAAATTATAAAGCATAAAGTTCACAATTAAAAAAATGAAAAACTTTTTCTTAATAATTAAATCATTAAGCTACATGTAATTCACACAAAACCTTCAAGCATTGGCCTTCTTCTTTACTAACAAAACTTAAGAGCAAAAGGGATATAACTGGGGTATATAATTTTATTGTGTAACATATTTTTTATCATTTTTTTTTAATTTCCTCTTTATATATGAATAAGCTCATAGAAAGTCTAAACTTATTAGCTTAGCTCCTGGAATGAGAGGAATTTGATGGTCCAATCACTCTAGAAGGAGAAATATGATTTGGTTCTTGAAATATTATTTGATATTCTTCTAGTAAAGCTTTCATATTTATAATTTGTATATTTTACCCACTCTTTTATTGAGCATCTAAAGATAAGAATTGGTCAATGTAGCTATAAATTGCCTCCTTAAGATTTTATGTACTTTCAAGGTTGAGATAATTTGTAAACTAACTTCTTTTACCATTCCTTTTAAATCTATCATTCTTCCATCTTTCTTGAAAGAAGTCTTCATCTTGATAAAATCAAATTGAATATATAAGTAGATTCTTAACCAATCTACTACTACCACTATATCATACCTTCTAAGCTTTAATATTCTTAAGTTAGCATGGAATTCATACCCCTACATGAACCATTAGAATTCTAGGTTGTGAGCATCACATTTTATAATGTTGTCATTGGCTATTATCACTGTTAAAATAGTAGTCTTAACAATAACAATAATAATCCTTTTAATCATAGTTTAATCAATAAAAATATAAATGATGTCATTATTGATTAAAATCATAAGATCTCTCATGTAATAACTTCTTTTAATACATATTGTGTTATAAACATAACAACTAATTAAAGCATTTAATGACATCCTATATTCCTTAATTTTTTCCATTTTTCATAGCATCACTATCAGTTTCTTCTTCTACTTAAAAAAAAAAACTCTTCCTCGTCACTCTCTCTTCTCCTAAATAAATGAATGCATTTTGAACTACATTTATGTCCAAAAAAAAATTTATCCTTATATTTAAAGCACAATCCAAGTCTTCTTCTTTATTCATAAAGATTTTTAGAAAACTGTTTTAAACTTAGTTATACTTTAGTTCTATATTGATTAAAGGGTTCATGAGTGAAATTATTTTCTGGTTTGTTATTGTTTAATGAGAGATTGATCTTTGAAACCGATTTACTCCTTCTAGCTATCGTAATATTTGACTCTTCTTAACACTTTGTTTGATTAAAAACTTACGTTAAAGTAGCAAGCTTGAGGGTATTTAACATTAGTTTAACATCTTCCTTCAATCTACTAATAAAGCTATGATTTAGGTAATATTTTGGATTAAGAATATTCATGCAATCTATTTGTGTATTCTTCCATTCCTTTCTCTTATGTTCTAATTTGTTAAACTCCTCTATCACATCATTATGATCGTCAAACCTGACACAAAGAGCTTTATAAAATTCCTCTTAGGTTTTTATGTTATTATTTTCCAACATAAACCCTTCAAGCCATATTTTATAAGCTCTTCCTTGTACGTAGATTGAAGCAATCTCAACCTATTAGTACACTGGGGGTATAATGCATCTTGAAAAGTTTTCTTTATTTTTTGATACACTCTCTTGGGCACTCACCAACAAAGAATGGTATATCAAATCTTCGTAAAGTTATATTATATCCTCCTTTAATGCTCTCTCGTTGCCCAAGAATCTCTTCACGATTGCAATTTCTTTAAGGTAGATTAAACCTACCCGGACTAGAGTTTTCCTTTCCATCTCTTATACTTTCTTTAGTAGCTGCAAAAGATTAGAGAGTAGCCAACCCTGATTCCATCCATTTAGATAACTTATCAATCCTCTTAGTTTCCTCTTTTCCTTGCTTTTGAAGATCAGCCTTAATCTCATGCAACTCTTGACCTCTTGCATTTCTTCATCAATCCTTCAGGTGTGTTCTTCTAATGCCATTTAACTTGTTATTTTCCATTATGGTCTCTTGTTGGTAACAAAATAATGTACTGATGGTTTCAAGAATGAGACTCTGATATCAATTGTTAAAGATCTTCCTTGACTTGCATGCTTGTTTTGTATAAGACTTGTTTCCAATCTTTTTTTTAGTTTTTTTTTTTAAATTTAATCTCATCCGCTCTCTTGACTTGCATGCTTGTTTTGTATCTGCTAACAATGACATGATACACTGTTTGATAGCATGCATGCGCGTACCATTGAGCCCTCATAATGTATGCTATTCATAGTTTCTCCTGCATGATTCACACAGCATATGGGAAGTTACTGATATTATTCTTGTAAATAGAAGCTTGTTCTGTCATTACATGCTTCAAAATGGTTTCTTAAGCAATCGAATCTGCCTGGAAAAGAGCTTCCTAATCTCCTGGAATTACTTAAGACTTCGATTTCTGCTGTGAAGATTGCACGGACAGGTCTGTGGTCAGACAATCTAGATTCACCTCTGCTGTATTGTTTCTGCTTCAGTCCCTTTCCAAACCAAATTATTCGATCGCACCTGCAAAAACACCTCTCTTGGGCAAAATCATCATAGTTAATTATCTTGTTTTAGATGATTCAAGATAAATATCATGAAGAACAACGAGTTACCATGCAGGAGCACGCTTCTTTTCACCCTTCCTCTTCTGATCACAGCCATAGTAGACTTGTGAATTCTTATAGTACTTGTAAGTAGGTGCAAATTCAATTTTTCCTTCATGCCAACCTTGGAATACATGACCTTCCACGAGCTCAGCCTTAAGCTAAATATTTATTTTCAAAAGGAACTTAACTTTATCATCATCCTCAGGACTGTAATAATCATTTTGAAAGGATATAATAAGATTTTCACCATCAATATTACTTATTCATATATACCTGATCCTTTTCTAACAAGATGTTCCACTCTTTTTTCTGAACTAAATATCTTGTTTTAGAATCAGGCAGGTATATCCTGTAGTTCAAATCTCCAAGCCAGACTACCTGACTGCATATGGATAGCCAAAATAGTGCTAAACAATAATTAAACATATGCAACTTGTAATAAATTTACTATTTATATGAAAACAAATTGTCTCACTCAATGGCATTATTGGCCTAGTTTGATTAACAAAAAGGAAGAAGAAGAAAACACACAAGAACTGTTGAATCTAATTAAACAAATTCTCTCCAACTAATTAATGGCTGAGGATTCAACTTGCCTGCAGACAATCTAGAGTAGCATTATGACCAATAAACGGGAGAGGGGCGGGAGATATTATACATCATGAGTTTTTTAAAAAGATTTATTAGTCTATGGTTCATATAAATTTTGAATCACACAGCAATTAATTATGAAAGCCGAAATCAATATTCAAATCACTTGAAATGACAAGGCAAATGGCTTTAGTTACTGGGTTAGCTAATCAGCTTCAAAACAACAGAAAACATCACAAATCCATCTAATTAAACATGTTAATTATTATCATGTTGGGTATTAACCGACTAGATTGTTTTTTGTAATAAAAACTTTCCAAATTGTAAGTGATCGTCTAAGTTTCTCTTTATTTTATGATGAAAACAAAAGGTTACCCTTAATTAAATCTTATAAACTTTCAATGCCAAGCACACTATAAAAGTTTGTCATGAAACCAGCATCTCACACCCTCACTTTAAATTAAAACAAAAAAAAAATGGAAGGATATTAGAGCAAGAGAAAGTGATGTTTTGATGTTTCTGATCAATCACCTAAACTGGTTGCATATTATTGTGATATAAAATTTCACACATAAATATACGTACTCATGATCAAGAATCTTTCGTGGCAAATTGCGCAAAGGGCCACGAGAAAATCTTGTGCGTGACAAGATTTCAGTAGCGTCGGCATTTCTATTCTTTTCATCTCCTTCTTTCCCTCCAGAAGCCAGATGACTACACACAAAACATAAGCTTGTTTCATGCAAGCAAAACCTAACCGAGACAGATCCCTGCATGACAAGCCATATTCAAGTTAAAAAAGCACTGATACATATCTATTTGCATGGATTTTTCCTTTTCATTGCGTGAGGAATATATGTATATATACCTTATTGCCTAGGCAGCCCATGATGCCACAGCCTACACATGAGACACTAGGATGTTGTATGTATGGAAGGAGATCACCTCGAACCCAAATGGTGATAAAAATTCCAACCATTTGCTTACTTATGATACAATCAAAGCAGTGAGGAAAAGTATTGCTGCTTTTGCCAAGAGAATTACTACTCCTATTTTTCTTCACGGGGAGCACCTTTTGAAACTCTCCTACCTTATCTTCGTGAACAGGTTTCGAAGTACTATTGTTCAGAGCTTCTCTGATAAGAGAATTCCATTTGGTGCAAATCTTGCTGTTTTCAAAACCTGGAACAACGTTTCCAGCATTGAGAGGCACGACTTCTTGGAACCTGAAATTTATATGTAATATTATAGTTAAATAAAAAGTAAGATTTATGGAATGAACTTTTTTTTTTAATTCAAGACATCATTGGGCTTGAAGGTCTCAGCTTCGAGTCCCAAATTTTGTCTCTTCATCGAATAATTAATACAAGGAAAAGAAACACAAACATAAACCGTCCAATGCATATATATTCAACACAAATCTTTCAACAAATCTCATTCATTATATCTCTTGTGTGAATATATATTCTATTAAAAAAGGAAGTTTTAATAGAGTTGTTTTTTTTTTTAGTTTTACAGTTAATTAGCATTAGAATATTAAAAACGCACCCAAGAACATAGATATCAGCAGGTTCAGTCTGTGTGCATAACCAATCTTCCATGTTCAAATCATCAGGTGGTGCAATGCCTCCAACATTCCAAGAGCCGACAAAGATCCTGTTAAAATATCTATATTAATGATCATAAAACAGAAGAAATTAGGAAAGAAAGAAAATCCCAAAAATACCATGATAAATAAAGCGACTCTTATTGTTTTGAAGAGAGAGCTTGTACTTGTGTTTATCCTGATCATCAGTGATGTATTTCTTGGAAGTGATGGGCGAAGGTGGAACCGAAGAACTAGAAGTTTCTTCTAGCTCTAACATGGTCTCTGTGGAATTTGGAAGGTCTACAACCAAGTTGTTGCTACCCAACATATTCCTCAGGATCTTGCTAGCCTCAAACTCAGGCCACATGACCTTCAAAAATGAATGATATGCTAATTAATAAATAACAAAAAGAAAAAGAAGAGATCAGCTAGGTAGAATGAGAGGGCATAGGGGTGCTTGGTTAATCCTTGCATGGTTTAGTTGGCAGTGATGTAATGTTTTGCAGAGGGGATCATAAGAGGTTAATTGCATCATTGAATGGAGCAAACTATAGATTAAAAAAAAAAAAAGGAAAACGAATTAGAAAGGCCGGGTTGGGCAGGAAATGGAGAACAAGGGACCACAAGTGCACCCACCAAAAAAATTGTATAAAAGACTCAAATGGGCAACTTGGAAAGGATAGCTACAATATTAGGGTAGTACTGATGTGAATGATGATGTAAGTCAAACTATATTTTATTAAACTTTTCGTAGAACAAGTTATAGGAGGCAAAAGATATATAATTAACTAAATCTGAGACAATTGCAAAAGTTAACATGAGTCTCTTTCTCACCCCCTCAGTTTCCCATTCATGTTGTCTGGCGGTCATATGGATGCCCACTTTTCCATTAAACAAAATGTAGTTGTTAATGCAAACATATCAGAAGAGCAATCACTCATGGTAACAATCAGCTTTGAGCAACTTGGCTTGGATATACTGTGCCCCGTGGGAAAGTGCTTGCTAGCAAATAGTACATGGTATTCTTGGGCGGGGCCTAGCTATAAAAATAATGAAGGTTTTTTCTTTAGCATGAGAAGACAATGTTGTTGATCATTGCCATTGCCCAGCCGGCAAAAACAATAGGTTTTCGATTGTAGTTACCCGTGCAAATGGTTCTAGTTTGGCACGCCAGCTAGATGATGAGCCTTTTTGGCATACAATCAAATATATTGTTCTTTAACCTGTGATATATTGTGAATATTGCATGAATTACCCCGTGGCCATTAATATCAATACATGACTCCTCTTCTATTATTATTTTTTTTATTTGGGCGACAAGATGTGTCAATTAGACTAACTTTCCTTTCATAATTATATCTTCAAACATCGCTAGTGTCAGCTGAAATCTACGTGAGATAGTAGAGAACTAGCGAGACAACCTCAAAGCAATCAGCGTGGACATAAAGGAAAAGAAACTAAGCAGATGAAAACCAAGGAAGAAAAGCTTGTCAAAACCCAGCACAAGGAAGAAAAATGGCACGAGACTGAATGCGGGCCTAAGAGAGAGGCATGGAAGAAAACCAAGAGGGAATGCAAATGAACACCCTTCAACCCCAAAGAAAGGACGTAAAAGCATGAAAAACCCAAGGACAACAATAGAATGCCAGAATAGAAAAATCCAATAAAAAAAACAAGACCTAAAATGGTAGCATAGCAAGCAGAGGTCCACTAAAACAGTCTAAAAAAGCAACAAGCCAGGAAAAAAAAATGCAAACCTGTCTGCAACTGGATAATTTTATAGGAGAAACGAGAGACTACAGGAACTGGAATCCCCTAACGAAGTGCCCAGACCCCAACGAACATCAAATCCTACCCAAAGAAGCAGCAGCAATTAGTACTCTCCCAATGTTGTCGAAGGACCAAGGACCAAGGACCCAGCAAGCGGGCTATGCAGTTGATGCATAATCTGTTGAAGTAAACTCAATCCAGAAGGTCAAGGAAGGCAGCCACCAGCTGTCACCGCCCAGCCACCAGCCGCCAGCCGCCAGCCGCCAGCCACCGGCCGCCGACCGCTTTCACACCGTCGGCCAAAAACCGCCTTCACACTTGAAGGTTGAATTTTCTTGTTTTGATTTCGTGTATAAATAGATAGCTAAGCTTATGCAATTATGTGTGGAGAGATTGAGAGAAACACTAGAGAGAAAGAGAGAAAGAGAGAGGGGTTGTTGTAAGCTTTTGTTTATGTTATTGTAAGCTTTGTTCTTGAAATAAAAGAGTGTGTTTTATCCCCTCTGAGTGTTTTCAAAGCCACCACAAGTGGTTTCTCCCACCAACATAATCATCATTACGGGCCATCTTTTCTGAGCCATCACCCACAATCGACCAAGAAAATGAGCAGCCACCACAAAAACAAAGGCTCCCCTGGAGACTCATACCACTACCAAAGCCAACCAAGGCTGTTGCACAGGATCCTGAACAGACCTGCAGCAGAGACCAAGCCATAGAACACGCAGTTGTCCCCGACGACATAACAAAACTCAAAAGAAAAATGCGCAAACGATCTCTATGAGCCAGGAAGAACAAAGCAAAATCATCTACAGCTGAGAGCCCTAAAAAACAAACCATATTGAAACCATGAGTAAATTGCACCACATCTTGGGGAACAAAAGAGGCCTGGAGATCAACTTTGCAAGTCCACGTTCCATGGAGTCTGGATCCACAGTAATTTTTCCACGCATTTTAGATTTTCTATTAATTAATAATTAATTTCTTAAGAGTGTAAAAGCTTGGCAGAAGCTGCATAAAAAAACGATGTTTTTTCTTTTTTTTTTATTTTTTTTCGGGTACTTTAAAATAGTGGATCGTAGCTTGACCTGTTAATGGGTCGGGTTAATCTATCCAAATCCGAATGACAATGAATGAGTCTGAGCACAAATATTTGGCTTGCAGATCCGGCCCGTTCTCTAACTAATAAATTCGAATACCCGACTTTTTATTCTCCTATGAATATATACACTGGGGAGAGGGTAGAGGTCCGAATATAAAGCACCAGTTTTGTTTACGAGGTTAGGGTTGCTGCAAGGTGCTTTTGCAACAGTTATTTTTAATTTAAAACATATTAAAATAATATTATTTTTAGATCTTTTATTTATTTTTAGTTTCAACATATAAAAAAACCATTTAAAAAAACAATGAATTGCGTTAACTTGATGCTTTTTAAAATAAAAAATAGTTTCAAAAACAATTCTTACTATGAAAACAATACACTATAAATTACTAAATAAAAACTTAGAAAAAAAATATTAATTAAAACAAAATTTTGAATTTTTGAATATATAAAATATTATTAAATTTAACAGTTTTATCAACAAAAATTATCATTAATATTTACAGTTATAGTCCATCAGTAAGTATTTTATCAACGAATATTTACGAACGAAAATAGTCTATTAAAAAACTTTTTGATGATGATTTTTAATTTTATAATAAGTCCATCAACAATAAATTTATAAATAGATAAAACACATCAAATTCATTCAGTGATTCAGTTTATGTTCATCAAATTTTTATAGTGAAAAATAACTTAAGAAAATACACTCTCATGCAATACACACCATGGAAGCTTCCAAGGCCCTGGCAGGACACAGCAGATTACCTAAAAATAATACAAAAATACACTTTCATATAATACAACATTTATGCACACAACCAATTTACAAAACCATGGATGCTTCCATGCCCCTGCTGCAGAAGGAAGAAAGGAGACACCATAATAGATTTAAAATTTAATTCTTTAAATATGTTTAAATTAATAGCAACAATTCAACTAAAAACTTTAATTTATTGAGTAGAATACTGGGAAAAAAAATGTTTTTAGATTATTTTTTAATACTTCTATTAATTAAAAGTTATTTGAGTGTAAATACTCGTAATTATCGTGTATTTTTATTGTAATACCAGAGGTAAATCACTATTTATTAAATTAAAATAATGGTATGATGAAATTGCTCCTCATTTAAAAAATAAAAAAATAACTAAGTATTTAAATATTGGGTTAAGATAATTTTTACATCATGAATTAACTGTCCTCTACAAATTTTATGAAGTTAGATTGGTTATAGATAGAACTTTAGGAAAGTTTTAAAATTAATTTCTTGTAATGAAGACCTTTAAGGACAGCCATCTCTAATATTTTTAAATAATTTATTGTAATTAATTTTATTTTATATTGAATCGAAATTAAAGGTAAAAAAGGAGGCTGGGAGGCTTCCCTTGGTGCCATCCATAATTTATTTTTTCTAAAAACAAACAATGTATTATATATGTTTTCAATTTTTGATCATGAGATTTTAACCTAAAAATATATTCTTCAAACTATTTTAACTTGAAAATACATTAAAAATATCCATTAAATCTTATAAAAAAATATTAACTAAAAACAAATCAGTCTAAAAATATGTAATTAAACAAAAAATAAATTATTAAAAGTGAGAAAAACATGGGTGGCCCTCCATGTGAAAAACAAAATAATTGGGTTTTCATTGGACTCATGAGATGAAATTCAAGACTGAATTAAAAAGTTATAAGAGAATAAAGGATCAAATTGAACAAAAAAACATTATCTAAGGCACTATTGTGTAAGAAAAACCATTGTATTGAGAATGCATGTGTGGTTTTCCTGGTATTATTAGAATCATTTTGGTGAGGGATTTTTTCTACGATAACATGTGTTATTGTTAATGTTATATTTTCAATATGGTTTTAGTGACTTTTTTTTTCCTTTCCTTTATTTTTTTGCTCAATTTCTTCAATTTTTTCCCTTGTAGTGACAAAAATTTCATAGGGAGATGTTAATTTTTTTGAATTTTCAATTCTAGTTTCATCATCTTCAATCTTTTGAAAAACAACCATTTTAAACCATTTTTTTTTCAAGATTAAGCATTTATTGATTAAATCAAGTTCATTAAAATAAATCACCAATTTCAATATGGAATAGGTTCAATGAAAAATAATAAACTTAAAAAATATTTTTAATTAGAAAAAAAAAAAAGAAATGGCATTTTATTGCCATTGGCTGTGAGCAAATAGTAGAAAATATAAGACTTAGCTTTTTTGTTGTGTTTAAAAGTAGAAATAAAATTAATATTTTTTAAATATAAATAGCTTGGATAAATTATAAATACTCAATTTTATATTTATAAAAATAGTTATTAAACTAATTGAACTCAATGGTTAAATTGATTACTTTAGTATTAAGAGTTAAGTCCAAACCTTTTTTTATTATAATTTTGAATATTAATCTAATTAAATTTAAAAGATTCAATAAATTAATTGAGAATATAATTAATATGTTCATGTCAAATTTAATTATTTAAAAAAAAAATCCAAAACAAAGTTATTTTAATTTTATTTTAAAAACAAGATTTTCCACTTTTGTTTTTTTTTTAAAAAAACAACATCTTTTATTTTAAAAACAAGAATTTCCCCTTTTTTTTTTTAAAAAAAAAAAAACATCTATTTAAACTTGGGTTGGTGCGCTATAAGTGGGTTAACTCGTATTGGGCCATTTATTCATCAGCCCAAAAGGAAAGTAGATAAGCAATAAAAAATTATTAAAGCCCAAACTATTTTTTCCCCAAACAAAAAAAAAAGCCAGCGAACCAAAATCATCAAGAACACAAAAACCATCATCAATCAAACTTAATAAACAGAGACGGAGGGCAAGATCACCGGTGAACGGCACGGCATTGAGACCGGCGTGAGTTTAACTTCTTCTTTTCTCTTATCTCATAATCGTATATGAATTTTTTTTTATTTTAACAAAAATCCATTTGGATTCATAGCTGAAAAATTGAAAAAGTTGTCATTTCGATTTTCCATGCAATGTTGTAGTTCTTTTTTCCTGATGACTGAATTGGTGTGTGTGTGTTTTGCACTTAACAGGTGAATGCTCTATAAAGATGGGATGGAGTTTTGTTGTTGTTTCACTAATTGTACTTTGGATTGCTTCTTTATGGAAAGTTCTTTTCTCGTCATCATCAACTTCATTCTCAAAGACTTCATTTCTGAGTGATGGTTGGTGGAAGTTTTCTATGTAATAAACATTGTTTTGTTTTCTTTTAATAATATGTTGTTTATGGTTTTTATTTTTTAAGATTTGACACCCTTTTGCTCTTATTAAACTCAGATAGAGCTCTTTCCAAGAGAAATATCTTGCTTGTTGTTGCACACCCAGACGACGAGTCCATGTAAAGCTTCTTCTTGTTTTTGTGTTTGGCATTTAAAGTTGAATTGTTTTTGATGTTATGTTGAAATTTGTGTTGCTTTTTTTTTTTTTTTAAATCCCTTACAGGTTCTTCTCACCAACTATTAACTATTTGATTTCCAGAGGGCATAATCTTTACATACTATGCTTTTCAATTGGTAATGTTGTTTCATTAATATGTGATTTGGTTTCAATATTCTTTCATGTTGAGAAATATGTAAATTCTATGTCTATTGGGTTTGGTCATGGTAGAATTAGGAAATGCTTAGGCCAAAATTGAGATTGTGCTGCAATGAAGTTTTCTCTATAGAACCCTGAAGTATTCGCCACATGGAGCCAGATTTTCTTTTGGCCCATTTCTTTGTGCCCTTATATGATTGTTAGGCATTATGTCTGGAAAGGGAGAAGTTTAAAGCTTCCTTCATTAAGTGTCTCCTACTCTGTAGTTGTTGATCTTTCAGGTTTCGAATTGTTACAATTATGCTTTTTTTTTTCCTGCTATTTTCATTTGTTTGCTTCAATTAAGGCAAAGCCATTCTAAGTAAATTGTAAAAGTTGATTAGATGTTACTCGGAGTGGAAAGCAGTTGAATATTGCAATTTTTTCATACCACTGCTTGATAAATGCATGTAAAATGTTTAAACTAGCACTTCAAAGCGTGCAGTGAATTTGTTTTGTTGGTTTTGAACTCATCTCTGAACCTATATAATGCTTTTATTCCTTACCCTGTTAATATTTTCGTTAAAAGATGATCTATGAAATGAGATTTTAGGATCTTGTTTCCATGTTTATTTGCTAGGGTAGTTAGTTAGATTTACTAAGTTTGAAAACATTTAATATAGCATCTGAGTTTAAAGCATGCTGCTAAAGCGCTTTAAATAGCAAACTATGGGAGGCTTGCATTTTCAACTCAAGAAGTTTTAATCCATATATGTTTTACCTGCCCTAGCTAAACATCTTCCTTTCGAAGACACAGAAGTCTTCGGTTCTTTTCTGTTTTCCCTTTTGGTTCTTTCCTGTTTTCCCTCTCCTTCCAGCACTTTTCTTTTTCCTTTTAGAAATGGATTTCGGAAAGGCTTGCTTTCCCTATTCATCCAAGCAATGCCAATGGGTAAAGACTCCCTTTTATGGATGGTTTCATAAATTTCTTAAATAGTTTGTGTGGCACCCTGTTGTGTGTGTATTCTGTGACTTTTAAAACACATTTTTTGTAATTCATTTTATTTTGTTTTTCATGTAGGCAATGCAGATGGTATGGGAAACACTAGAAAACACGAGTTCTACCAGGCTTGTGCCGTCCTCAAGGTGGATAAAAATTATGGGAACACTAAAGATCTATGGTTTCAAATCTGTACTTTGTAATCTGGAATCTAAATAATTGAAACTTCTCTACACATTTGGCAGTCCACTAACTTATATTCATATTAAAACTATCAAGGTTTTAAATTTAGAAATTGTATTGATTAGTTGTTGATGTAAAAACATCATCAAAATTTGAGAAACAAAATTTTATAAGTATTTTACCTGAACCACATTTCTGTTCT